TTAGGGTTTAGGGTTCAGGCTTTCGGTGCAACTCAGGCGTTAGGCGTCTTGGGAGCCAAGGGCTTCGTGGCGCAGGGCGCAGTGCAAAGGTGGACATGAAGAAAGCCCTAAAACCCTAAACCCTAAACCCCTAAACCCTAAACCCTAAACCCTAAACCCTAAACCCCTAAACCCTAAACCCTAAACCCAGGTTTGGAGACACGGGAACACGGCGAATCGGAATACTTTCTCTCGAAACTACGCACCCGGAGTGTTGAAGTCTTATCCCGGAACCCGAAGCAAAACAAGGGAGGCTTGACCTGATAACCCTAAACCCCTAAACCCTAAACCCCTAAACCCTAAACCCTAAACCTTAAACCCTAAACGGCATCGTCCTCATCATCATCGTCGATTTCAGCGAAGAGCTCCACGTCCAAGTCCAGTTCCTCGATTCCCGCGCTGGAGCGCTCCTCGATTCTACGTGCAGGTACGTTCTTACGGACATAGATGGGGATTTCCGAAAATGGGGGACCCTAATATAGTACCCTATATAGTAGGATCCTTACTTATTATAAGGACCCCCCAAAATAAGCTACCCCTTATTTTCGGAAACTCCCAGATACAGGTATACGGTATAGATGTAGAGCACATACAGATACCATGACCGCGCTTTTCGCTTCGTGCATTTCTCAGTAGGACTTGTTTTAGGTCTTCACTGCGCTTAGGGTGCGAGGCTCAGTAGTCGAAGGCCTCTTCCTTTGATATGGGGGTTTCCAGAAATAGGGGACCCTAATATAGCACCCTAAGTAGTAGGATCCTTCCTATAAGGACCCCAAAATAGGGTACCCTAATCTTCGGAAACTCCCATATGGGTCTCTTCCGAAACCTTGCCTTCGAGGGCCCCCGAACAAGACAGCCCATTGGCTCGAACGACCCAAAAAGCTGCGCGGAAATACTGACGGAAGACCCGCTACAGTTGGACAGCTTGAACCCTGACTGTTTTAGGGTTTAGGGTTTAGGGTTTAGGGTTTAGGGTTTAGGGTTTAAAAAAAAACCTTAAACTCGTATCGCATGACCCCTAGACCCACACACTCGAAACTCAGAAGCCTTTATAATTCCTACAGGCCGGCGACAGGTGAACACTTAGGGGCCGAATATGGGGCTCTGCATATGTAGTGACGATAGCCCCTTATGGTCCCTACATGATCCGATATGATAATACTATAGTATACCACCTCGAACTTGAATTTCTATTGCAGTCGGCCCTATATTGCCTCACTACGGCTCCGACCGATCCAACCCCCCCCCCAAGAGGTAACCCTCTCAAGTGGGCGGTTTCTTTTGCAAAGGGCTTTAAGTTCGGTGCTGAATTCGAAGGTTTGTGGTAATATAAGCGCCAAAATAATGAGGGCAGGGCTTGGGGCCCATTATACTAGAATAAAAGCAAGGAACCCCCCCAAATAGTATTAATGGTAAGTATAAAGGCCCCTATATCAGGCTTCATTGAATTGCTACCCTAGGCTCTAAACCCACACTCCCAAATCTCCCACAAATTGGAATCCTAAGCCCTAGGCCCTAGAAGTGGGAACCACAAGCCCCAACCCGTAAAATGGGCCACAGCGCCAGCAGCGATTGCAGATCGATTCCTGGACGCGTTTTTTTATTTATGATCCGAACGAGGTTCAGGAGCTCGTCCACATGCTTCTCGCATCGGGTGTATGGTTGTTCGAAAATGTTTCAAAGTGAGGCT